GCTCTACAAAAGCAGTTTAACAATGGGTATATAATTTGAATTTGTATATAATTGAAGATAAAATGCTTCATAAAGTATATTCAGACATTGCATTCTTATCCCATTATTCCCATATCTGCTTATTTATTTATCCCATGGGATTAAAAATACCCAGTATTATGTACTTTGCAGGATTTTTAATCCTAAGAAGGGCAAATATGGGATTTTTAATCCTATGTCGCCTATCATGGGAGAAAAAATCCCATGGGAGAAAAAATCCCTCAAAGATTTTTTTCTCCCATGGGATTTTGGTGGGATTTTTGGTGGGATGAAAAATCCCGCCATTCTCCCATGGGATTTTAGGTTTTGACAGAGGTTTATGAGAAAACTACTACAATGTGGAAGTTGAGATTGACATGATGAGGTCAGAATAAAAAATCCCACCAAAATATAGAAAAAAATCTAATGTAGGTCTTTTCGAAAGGGTACCTAAAAGTCCGGACTTTGTCGTGTCCGGACTTAAATGTCGCAGTGTTTATTCAAAACAAACTAGTGTTCAACTGACAAGAAGCACTTTACATTTAGAGGGTGGGGTGGAGGTTCCAGAAGATTTTATTGATGCCATATCCTGTGAAATTATGTCAGTGCCTATCGTATTACCATGTGGAAAAAATATTGACCAATCAACTTTGGAGAAACACAACTCTGTAGAGGCATCATGGGGTAGATTACCCAGTGACCCATTTACAGGGGTTCCCTATGACAACAAAAACAAACCATTGCCAAATGTACATCTGAAACTTCGCATTGACAAATTCATGATGGAAAATGGTGACAAACTTCAGCATATACCTAGAACACTTGGTAGAAAAACAGACAATTCTTCTGTTTATGCAGAAAATGAACCTAAAACAAGCACACTGGTAGAAAGCTCTGAAATGAGAGGAAATAATACTTATTGTGAGCAAAATGTGTCTGATAGAAATAAGCTTCAGAAAGAGGACTCCAGAAAGAGGAAGAATACACAGCTATGTTCTGACATCAAAGGCAAAAGATCTAGGAACACTGAAAATAATACGAGTAACACACAATCTCTTGTCAGTACATGTAATACAGCAAACTGTGTGATAGACCTGACAAAAGATGAAAAGGCCTCAATTATTGGCAAAGTGTTAGCAAAGACAAAATCTCATGAGGAGGAGCTGAAAGAGAGCATAAACTCTGCTTTCAAAGACATTCTTAGCCAGCTACCATCCTTTACAAAGACAGTGAACAGGTCTCAGGACAATGCTGGACCCTCTAATGTGATTGACCATTCTCAGAAGTTGATAGAAAACCAATGTAGTAGCTGTGAAGGGTCTAGTCAGACTAATGATTCCTTGTATAGGGCCCCCTGTGGTCACCTCTTCTGTAGGAAATGTTTACTTAAGCAGAGAAACTATTGCTCTGTGATATTTGATAAAAATTGCCAGAAAACTTGGAAATCAAATGAAATATCTAAAGTTCATTGAATTTGTAAGAATGGAAATTCATTTCAAAACATTGTATTTTATACCTGTGATGTTAGTTTGAAAGAACCTAAATCATGTGCATGTACCAAAATAAATCTATGTCTAATTAATTTTTCTGACTTTGTGATGTTATTGTTAATTTTGATTTTATGCAATTAATAAATGCAGTATGATTTAAAGTTATTTCATAAAAAGTGTTATCTTGAAAGAAAGATTGGTTTGTGAAGCACTAATTCCATTGTTTTAGAAATAGTAATGAATAGGCATCACTTAGATGACCTCGTACTTGACCATAGTCTCAAGGTCTTTACAGAACCTCTGCTTGTAAGAAAGCTTTCATAAGGTTTCAGTGTTTAAGATCTGTACAAGATATGACCAGGTCAAATGTGATATAAAATGTATTTTAATACATAAAGTAAACTTGAACTTGCCAAAAAAAAAACCTTTATTCACAATCATGAAACACCCTATGATACAAATAATCTTGATGTGAAATATCAAATCTATACTTTATATTGGAAAATTATTAACTTGATGAAATTTTTTTTTTATTTTTAAAGTAATTTTAAACTTCTTCAAATGACAAGGGGTCAAGGTCAATACACAACTTGACTTAGGCAATCTTTATGCAATATATGCATTTTAGATTGGTCTCCATTGAAAAGATATGGACTCAAAAAAAGTAACATTTCTTTGCAAATGACCCAGAAGTTGTAAGAATGACCTAGGGTCAAGTTAAAAGAACTATGAACTACTTGCATGTTTATGAGCTTTCAATGTTTTCCATTACAAGTATTGAATTGAACATTTTTTAAGTGACCTTAAACTTTGACCAAATGACCTTAGTTCAAGGTCAATGCACATCCTTAATCCCTATAACCCCTGAGCCTGAGGCCACACATTTCACAATTTTGGAAAAGGCACCCTTTTTCATAATATATGTTTGATTGATACCAATGAGCAGATTTCAAAGCATTTATTCATTTTCAGTATATATAACCCCCCCCCCCCCTGGCACCTCTGATCCAGGGGCCTTGAAATTCAAAATTCTGGAGGAAGGACTATGTAGGTAGTTCATCAGCTTAATACCCAGAAGCTGAGATTTCCAAAGAACTTCACTTCATGTATAATCAATAGAGCCCTGCCCCAACACCAGAACTGCTGACCTTGGGGGGCCATGAAATTCACAATTTTGGGAAAGGTACCCTTGCCGATCATAATTATTTATGTAGATAGTTTGCTTAAAACCCAGGAGCAGAAAAGACGTTTTTCATGAAATAATACACATTCACTATAAATCTATATACAAGGGGTGATCTAGAAGCTCGTGGAATTTCTTTTTAAAATTTCATCGTTATTTGATGAAAGAAAACAACAGTCAGGCATAATTAAAATATAGAGGCATAATGCAACAATATTGGAAAATTTTACCACTTTCCAATTATCAATAAGTTCACAAAAGCTTTCTGAAAATGGATAGTTGTGAAACCCGGGGGAGACTTCGACGTTACGTCAAGTTAGATACTCTATACAGGGTTATTTTCGCCCCTTTTTATTTTCACCCTTTCACACTTGAAAACAATATTGCCCTGTTTTAAATTCACCCAGTTACAATTCTGTTTAAGAAATCATGCTGTGTATTTTTAATTCACTCCGTTTTAAATTCGCCCATCTGTGGGTAGGGCGAAGGGGGCGAAAATAAAACGGGGGCGAAAATTTCCCTGTATACAGTATGTCACGTCACGTTATCGAAGCATCTCACCCTAATGTCCAATTCAAATACGTATTTGTACAAAATGCTGCCTTTTTCTCCATTTTTTTATTCTCAAGAAAAGTCTAGGAATCCTCTCGCACCAACTTATCTTCATTTTTCACTCATAATTCAAAATACTTCCCATCTTTCCAAATGATGTTCCAAGTTCAGTAGCAATGTCAAGAACAGTACGTCAGCCGACAACGTCCATTACAATAACGCTTTTAATTTGTCTAGGGGGATAAGCACTTAAAACAGAGCCTCCAAAAAGCGGCCACGCCTTTATTCCACGTCCATGGAAGTTTTATTTTTCTTAAATTTCTTATGCCACTGGAAAACCAGTAACTGAATGCATTTTCCCCCAGCCTATGTCAATAATCAATAGTATACGCGTTTAAGATAGAGTGATCCCGGGATTTTCACAAAAATTATGACTTGACCGAAATTTGACGTTGTCTATCAACTTAAAGATGAACAATAAATCATCAAATAATAAACTAAATATCCAATAAAATGAGTAAAATCTCACTCAAAGGTTTATAAAAGATCTAGCAATCGTAATAATGACATAATTTTCGTTTTATATACCACATAGGGCGGTTTTATTCTCATTTCACGAATTAAGAATTAATTTAAAATAATAAAAAACGCATTAATGTCTCCCCGGCATTTCCAAACAACCGTTTCTATAGCAACTGTCATAGAGTAACAATCGTAAATATTAAAAATATTTTTTATTGAAACTATTCAACAAGTGTCTATATTCTCTTTTGTAATTTTCAACCAATATCACTTAAAAATAAATAAAATATAAAGAAATTCCACGAACATTTGGATCAACCCTCGTAGCTCCGCCCTAGCACTAGAACTCCTGACCCTGCAGCCATGAATTTCACAATTTTGGTAGAGAACTAAATGCATGATAATTACAATCATGCTAACAGTTTGACTGCTTAATTGATGTCCTGGAGTAAAGAAGACTTAGAAGATTTTTAAAGATAAGACCAATTTTGATGGTTTAAGCCCCATCATTCAGGCCCCAGAAGTCAGGGACAATGCCATTCACAAATTTTGTTTCCCTCTACCCATAGATGCCATATGCTTAAATAGGCTGAAATTGTTTTAGCGGTTTCAAAGAAGCTGAAAATATTCAAATGTTAACGCACGACGGACGAAAACACGAAAACAGAAAGCAATAGGTCACCCGAGAGACCTTAAAAACTGCTTTTGGTTTCTTTAGCCTCGCACATTTGTATTTACCGGCCTACAAGACCTAATGGTAGGTAGGTAAATAGCATACCGACTGCGCAATTAAAGACAGATGATACAAACAAAATGTTATTCAAAAAATTTAATTTTAACGACTGAAATCAATTTAACAAAAGTATAATGAATAAGTTTAATTGCATATAGATTTTAAGTTTTCAATCTCAGTTTCATATTAATGAATGTGATTAAAAGTGACAAAAATTGTATAGATTATTAAGGAAATAGTTTCAAATGGCAAAATGTCATAGAATATTTACAATTTCGTAATATTTCAGCATTTAAATATTTATTAGACATATTAGAGTCAAAATAGTTTCAAAAATATATACCAATCCAGCCATCCGTTTTTATTTGTATTATCTGTCCTTAAATAAATAAAATGTGTTTGTGAAACACTAATATGCCCCCGTATGGCAGCTTATAGCGAGGGCTGAACTCAAATATAAAACCCCGATGTCAAGATCAAAAGTTCAAAATTGTTGGTATACAAGGAAAGGTCTTGTCACAAGGTATATACCTGGGAAATATGGAAGCCATAGTTCTTACTTAAAAAAATTATGGTTTAGGTTAGATTTTTTTTAAAAAGTGGGTCAAACGCTAAGGTCAAGGTTGAAAGGTCAAACATATTTATACCAATTAACCAATGAAAGATCTTCATACAATGAATACTAATGTGAAGTATGAAAGCCCTTGAACCAACTGTTTGCAAGTTATGAGCAATTTTTTTTTATAAAAAGTGGTTCAAATTCCCCGGTCAAGATCAAGAGGTCAAATTTGGTGGTGCCCTAAGAAAGGTTCACAAGAAATACACTTGTGAAATATGAAATTAGCCTTTCCGACTTTAATCCTGGCTTTTCCAACTTTAAAGTTGGTTATTCCAAATTTAATTTAGGATTTTCCATTCCAACTTCATAGTTGGTAATTTCAATTTTAATTTTTTTTAACTTTAATCTTGGCTTTTCCAACCTAAAGGCTGGCTTTTCATCATTGTACGATTTTATGTGGTATATTCAGACACTTCGTAGCTGAATTTGCATTGCAATTTTATACAGTTTTATAGTTGCTGAAACAAGAATATCGGCAGTCTCGTTTAAAGTCATCAATTCGTAAGTTCTATGGTCGATACAGCTACGGTAACAAAATTGTGGAATTCATAGATCCGGTTCTGGTGCTAGGGCGGGGCTGTATAGATCATATAGTAAAGTGCATTTTTTAAAAAAGATCTTTTTTTCTCTTCTCCAGTGAATGAAGCAAATCAAGTACATGGTTAAAATGAGCAAACGCGCCTCTTTCAACATTGCGAATTTCATGGCCCATGGATCATGGGTTCTTGTGTTAGAGTTGGGCTCCATAGCTAAGTGTTGTATATACAATAAAAAATCTTGCATGATTTGTAAGTTTTAAATAATGAGGGATATTTCTCGTGTCAACAACTACTAAGACACAGAACCTTGGTCCAATCTGGTCTGTCACCATTTCCCGCAATAGGACACCAAAGCAAACACTCTATAACCACTGCGCCATGTGGGTAATGAGCAAAGATTGAGTTACAGTCAATTATTTATTCATTCTTTATTTGCTAGTAATATAAGATAATTTCACGGAATAAAATGAATTATACAAAGTTAGAAAAAGAAAACAGCCAAAGAAAAAGACAAAAATTTCACAATTACATGAACAATGTACTATTTTTTTTTAACAAGACAAAACCTACAATTTTCAAATATTGCTCCATTGAAATTGCAATTGATATTAAGTTAAAAGCTATGCAGCCAAAGGCTCCGTACTTAGGATGATCAGTCAAGTCATTCAGCAGATGTCTAAAAACTATACAGATGACCCGCGGATGAATGTTCTTTAGATCTCCAGTCTTAATTGTCACTTGTCCAACTTGAAATAATCGTGTTTGGTTTATACCAATATTATCTAAATCTTTTTTTTTCCAAAGCAAATTAAGACTTTTGCTATATTTAAGGAATTACT